TAAGGTTTCAGATAGTTGTTGGTTATTAATCAGGTACCTTCGACCGACAGAGCCGAGCGCTCACCTAAGTCGGGCTTGCCTTGGGACCATACGTAGTAACAGTGCGGGACGGCTGTTCACTACAACGGTGGTACTTCGTGTTGAGCTCGCCGGGAGTCCTTGTGAGGCCTTCTTGGACACTGTGGCTTCAAGAAGTTTCATTAGTCCTAAAACAGTCGAACGACTGCAGCTGGAAGTGCGGAGACTTCCAAAAGGACATAGGTTCACCGTAGCTACAGGCGCACAACTACGCATTGATCGTGTTGTGACGGGATTGACGATGTGGTGCGGGCATGCACGTTTTTCCGGGTACCTTTTAGTGGGAACCGTTCCCTATGACTTAGTCTTGGGTTTGGATTGGCTGACGGAACACAAGGTGGCCTGGTATTTTCAGTCTGACATACTCCGAACATATGTGAATGGCCAGTGGTGCGAGTTACCGGTCGTTCGGACTGGTGCAGCAACGCTGCAAGGTGACAGCCCCACCGTAGTCCACGCAAGGACCCCAGCAGAGCAAGCATATGAGATATTGGCCAAACAAGTGGCGGGTATGTCAGCCGAGGAGGCAGTTATATTCCTACGCCCGCCTCCAAGGACGTATAAGTCCCACGCGAAGACTAAGGCGAAGGCGCGGATAACGTCGCTCGTTCGTCAGGCGGCGGCTGAAACAAATGGTGTCAGGGCTACATTGCACGGTTTGCATCCCATACTGGCTTTACTCGAAGCCAGTTCGGCAGTTCCCCTAAGGCTCTCGGATGAATGGCAAGGCGCGCTTTGTTGCGCGTTAATTGGGAATCAACCCACGTCCTCCGGCTGGCGTAGTCCTTTGGCCTCCACCGCCTCGGTGGCAGCGGAGAGTGACGAGGAGTCTCCCTGGTCTATGGCAAAACTCGAGCACACTCTGTTCGACGAATGGATAGCTTCGCCAGAGGCGCAGGATATTCCATGTGAGGTTGCCTAGGTGGTGCACGAGTATTGAGCAGTTTTTCCCGATACGTTACCGAAAGGATTACCGTCGAAGCGCCCTCATGCTCACCATGTTCTCCTTGTGCCCGGAAAACTTCCAGCGAGGTCTGCAATATACCGTATGACCCCAGATCAGCTCACATTCCACAAACAGGAGACAGCTAAATTATCGGACAGTGGTTGGATCGGATCGACCTATTCGCCTATTTGCTCTCCTACGATCATGGTGGACAAACGTGGTGATGGCTCCGGGGAGCGGAAGATGTGTATGGTTGTCAATTACCAGGCTCTAAATGCGCTTACGATATCCCCTGATTTTCCACTACCTCCCATCCAAACTATTCTGGAGATGCTGGGAGGCGCCAAGTACTTTTCCACCTTGGATCTTGAGGCAGGATTCCATCAAATACGTATGGCTAAGGAAGACCGGTGGAAGACGGCTTTCCGGTCCGTTCTCGGACTATTCGAGTACCGAGTGATGCCCTTCGGCCTTAAGGGTGCTCCCGCTACATTCCAGGCCAATATTAATGCCTATCTACAACGTTTATTGGGACAGGGCGTTATTGCATACCGAGATGATGTACTTATCTATAGTTCCGATCTCTCTGGGCACGTTTCTCTCTTGCGACAACTCCTCAGCATTTTTCTTAGACACCAGTTCTACCCAAAATTCCGCAAATGCAAATTTGCAAGGCAAACAATTCCTTATTTGGGTTATACCGTTTCGGCTACAGGGATCAAACCCGCAGAAGATAAAATCGCAGCCATCCGGCAGTGGCCAGAGGTGCTGGAGAACGAAACGCAAGTGCGCCAGTTCCTCGGTACCATAAACTACTGTCGCATGTTCATGGGACCGGACTGTACAGACGTTACCCGGCCGCTGGTTAATCTCACGCGTAGAGGCGTCAGTTTCGAATGGACAGAGCTTCACACGCAAGCGGTGCGGCAGCTAAAACAGCGCTTAATCGACTTCACTACATTACAAGTCCCTGACACGACGAAACCCTTCGAGATATACACAGATGCCTCTGGCTATGCGATCGGAGCAGTTCTCGAACAAGACGGCAAACCCATCGGCTTCCTCAGCCAAGTCATGAACCCCACGCAACAGAGGTACTCGATCTACGATCAGGAACTCTTGGCGTTGGTCATGGCACTGGACAAGTGGTCGCAGTTGCTCCGTGTTTCCAAGGTAACAGCTCACGCTGATCATCAAGCTCTCACCCATCTCCAACGACTCCAAGCATCGAAGTCTCTGCGCGGGCGCACCGCCCGGTGGCTAGACTTTCTTGTGGAGTTCCCGGATTTGCACATCACTTATGTTCAAGGAGCGCGCAATCAAGCTGTTGATGCCTTGTCTCGCCGTCCCGGTCTTCCTAACACCTGCTCGCACGACACACCATCGGTACCACTGATGCTCGCAATAGAACAAGCAGCGCGGCTCCCCGCTCTCGTGGTCGTCCTGCCAACTACAGGGAGCTTGCCGGAATTCGTTCACAACGGCCTCGATGACGCAGCCTGCCGTCCGCATCTTCACCTGCGCCGCAGGAACCCAACCCAGAGGCGGAACATTCTACACTCACAACGAAGACGCCAGCTGACCCTCCTGATGTGCGCCAATGGCCGCAAGCTTACTCGCAGTGTCCTGTTTTTCGCGTTCCCTACAAAGCCGCAGCAAACCAACCGCAAGAAGCTCTGCAAATGAAGTTTTGTAATCGCCAATTCACCTTTCGCTACGTAGAGCCTTACCTGCACATCCGCGTTCATGGGCTGTGGCGCATCTGCGTCCCACAGTTCCCTGAGTTTCTTACTAAAGTTCTGCATTCACATCACGACCATGTCACAGCCGGCCATCGAGGCCAGAAGAAGACCTTTGCGGCTCTCAGCAAGCACTACTACTGGCCAGGAATTCGCGCCTACACTAATGCTTGTGTTGAGTCATGCGCTCACTGTCGAGCGTCAAAGTCTCTTAACCAGAAGCCTGCAGGCCTTCTTCAACAGCTACTCATCCCTTCTCGCCGGTGGGCACACGTGAGTCTCGACTTTATCTCAGATCTTCCCCTTACAACGACAGGGCACAACTCGATTCTTGTGATGGTCGACTCTCTCAGCTTCCTGCAAAGAAGTCATTCACAGCAGCAGACACCGTGGAGCTTCTCGCAGACCGTCTTATCCGCTGTTACGGATTTCCAGAAGTGCTTATATCGGACCGCGACCCCCGTTTCCAGTCGGATCTATGGCAACAACTCTGTCGCCACCTTAATATCAAATGGTGCATGTCCTCGTCCTACCATCCTCAAAGCGACGTTCAAACTGAACGGGTTAGCCGCACACTCGAGCAGATTCTTCGTACCTACATCCAATCTGACGAACGCGAGTGGCAGCGTTTGCTTTCGGCCTTGGAACTTGCTTACAACACAGCAAGTCATTCCTCCACCGAGCTCTCTCCCTTCGAGGTCATGATTGACGAGAATCTGCTGGCTGCTGCGAACCTTGATATCGTAGGCGCGTTAGCTGCTATGCTCACTCCTCCGATGACTAAGCTTTGCCGGCAGCTCTGCGACAGAGCACAGAGCCACATGCTGAAGGCAAAATGGCAGCAGAAGTACTACGCAGACACAAATCGCCGCGCCCTGGAGTATGTAGTGGGAGGCAAGGTTTGGCTCAGTAACAAGCACTTACCGCCTTTTAACAACTGCCCTAAGTTCGAGCCCTGTTACCGCGGACACTTTGAACTCATTGAACGTATACAGACCGCTGCTTACAGCCTCGCTTTGCCTCGTACTTATGCATGCCACAACGTTTTCCTTGCTTTGAAGTTAGGTCCCCACCGCCCCCGCCCTCCAAACAA